ATGTGTCTGTGTATGCCTGCTTCAATGTGCTTCTGTATGTTACTGCATCTCTCTGTGTGTATGCCTGCATCTCTGTGTGTCTGTGCATGCCTGTGGTGTCTGTCTGTGTGCCTGTGTATGGATTCATATGTTTGTGTGTACTGATATGTAGGCTTTTGTTTATTTATTGTGTTTGGGAGTATGTACTTACTGTATGCCCATCTGCACCTATACACATGTTCTATGTGTTTCCTTGTGCATATGTATATTTTTTGTGTATATGCACTCAGGCCCCAGGCACTGCCAGTGAGTTCATAATTCACAACAACGGAGAACCTTCTTAGCTGACCTATACTTCAGCACTGCCCCTTGCCAGTGTGCTTCTTGAGTGAGTTACAGCATTTTTCTGAGCTCAGTATTCTTGTACATAAAATGTCATGTTCACTACTCCCATGAAACCAGAAGTCTGACTAATAAGTTTTCAGTCATCTTCATATTAGCATTAGGTTGAACTACTATACATGTAAAAAACTTTGCTGTATTTTCTTTTAGAATCTTCAATATATATTAGTTACTTCTCAGATACCCAATTTTGGTGCCCGAATTTAGAGCTAAAAGCATGCATTGCCCCAACTAATACTGTGCTGAGTTCATGAATTAGGCACATTTTTCTCCACCTTACATAGGAGGGAACAGGGATGGGTGTGCATGTGTGCATGTGAAATAATCTGCTGAGTCACCCCGGGAGTTTTTGAAGGGCAGAGTCACAACCCCCCATCTGTCTGCAAGGCTGGCCTCACTCTGACTTCCCACACCCTTCCGTAGCCAGAGGCTGAAGCCATGAATGACATGGAGGCTGTGGAAATGACATGAGCATCCTAGTAATCCATAGCCAGGTTATATTTGCTGATAGTCCCCCATATCTACTGACAGTTGATTCTTAAGGTCAACCTAAAAGTGCTGCTTTGTGTGGGGGCAGTGTAAGGAAGAAAGAAGAATTGGGGGCGGCTCTCAAATTGGATAGGTAACAAGTGCTAGCTTCATTGAGAAGTGCATGTGTGGACACATTGGAAAAGCATCTGGTGGGATTGGGCTTGCCTGGAAATGCTTTGACAGCCTTTTAACTGCTGCACAAGACTGCTTCTGGTCTTCTACCAGGAAACAACTGAAGGAGAATTGCTGGAACATGACCGTCTAATCCCTTCCTAATCTCCAGAGTCTCTTCAGTCCTTCAGCTCTTCAAATACACAATTTTTCAGAACTTGGTGAGCAGACACATTATGGCCAGAGAAACCCTAGGTACTGAGCTGTGCAGTTCAAGCAAAGTGGGAAGAACATTATCAGCTGGTTGCTTTGAAAGGAGTTTTGATATAGTTAATGAAAAAAAAAAAAAACAGTGAGAAGCCAAATCCCATTTACAAAATTATCGCTTTTGTTTAGCAAGACACATAGATTTAATTTTGCACAGAAAATTGCTTGGGAAAACGGGCTCTCAGCAGAGCCCTTCAAAGACAATTTAATATTTTTAATAAGGAAAATCTTTCTGATTCTCAACTATTTAGCCATGAAATCTTAAAAATCCAATGAAAGTCTGCCTTCAATAAAAGCTGCTTTACAAATTTTATTGTCAGTTTAACAACCTGAGAATATTAACATTCCCTAGGCAGTTAAATTCAGTTATAATTACAAACATTGCACTTTGAAAACTGTCTTTCATGTAATTCAATGTAATTTAGTGCCTATAAACTATGTGTTTATTTTTTTCAGATCTTCCTTACCTCAAAATTGTAAATAAGGTCAATTAACCCAGGAAAAGGCAAGTTTCTAAACATTGTCTCTTTCTAAGCAGTCATCTAAAAACACATACACACAGGAAAAATACACATATTCACATATAAATTTCCCATTATGTTTGGAAGATTTTGCACATCCTTGACTAACTGTTTTTCAAAAGATTTGGAGCTGGGTAAGTTGTCACACATCTGCAATGTACTTGGAAGGATGCAAAGCCTCAGGCTACAGAGTGAGTTCAAGGCTAGGGTGGGCAAGTTATTAAGATACCACCTCAAAGTTTAAAAAACTTAAGTCTAGGATAAAACTTTGAGTGGTAGAGAGCTCACCTAGCATAAGTAAAACCCTGTGTGTGCAATCTTCAGTACAAAAAAAAAAAAAAAAAAAAAAAAAAAAAAGGACAGCTGGAGTTAAAACTCATGGAATGATTACAGCCTGGTATCAGGAGAAGTGACAAGGCTAGCTGTCCATGGAACAGGGTGGTAACAATTCTTTTTATACTGAAACTTCTTTATTTCTTAAGGACAGTCACTAGAATATGGAGTCCTTTTCAGCAGATCACAGCTCAAGATAACGGCTGTGGAGATGGGTCAACTGTAAAGTACTGAGTGGCAAGTGTGAGGTTTGGAGTTCAGTACACAGTTCCCACATGCAAAGCTGGGGATAGTGGTGTGTGCTTGTAACAATGGAACCAGTGGGGCAGAGACAGAAGCATCCCAGGAGTTTGCTAGTCTAGCTGAATCAGTGAGATCCATGGAGGTTCAGTGAGAGACCTTGCTTCAAAAAAATTAGGTGGAGGGTGATTAAGGAAGACATTAGACATGAACCTTTGGCCTTCAAGTATGCTCATGCATGTGCACACATCTACACACACACAGTCTTCTAGAGCTGAACTGTTTCCCTGGAACTATGCAGATTCTCCCATCTACCCAGAAAAGACAACTAATAAGTGCTTCATGGGAATCTGAAAGGATTTCTTCAGTGTCTACAATCCCATTTCCAGCTCTTTTAATGAAGAAAATACCAGCCTCTTTATACTTGTTTCACTGCATGCCTGAGCACCACATGCGTGGCTTTGGCATTATCCATAGCATAGTCTCCCTCACTGTTTAACACTGCACTGTGTCGTTAGCTTAGAGCAGTCTTAAGGTATTTGGCACACTTGCTAAATGTTACTAAAACATGTACAAACATGAAGCCACTCTGTTGCTAGGAAAGCAAACCTGCCCTTAAATGTTCTATTGATGGAATCATGTTGGTCACCTGCACACTCCCTGTCTCCCTCCACAGCCTCAGTGTTCTCTATCCAATGCTTGTGATCAGATACACGTGAACTATGTGTCTTCCTTACTCTCTCCTCTACTAGAAAAGTAAGCTCCTATACTAGAATTTGAGCAGGAGTAGAGTTGTCTATTCCGTTTACCCCAACAAGAGCAATGACAGACACAGACATACCATGAATAGGTAACCAGCACAGAGCTAGTACACAAATGCTTAAACATCCACAACAGAAGGAGAGCCAGAATCTGTTGGAAATGCTTCAACATAGTGTTACGTTGTTTTTCATGTTGCAGTCTGAGTGCCTCAAAGCTCTGCAACAACTTGGTCATTTCTGATACGTCACTTCCTAATACGTCATCAGTGTTAGTTTCTGCTCAGTTCTTCTGTGTCATAGAGAAGTATGCTCCTGTCTCCAATGCTCATCTTAGATTTATAGAAAAACATAAGCCACCCAGGGGGGTATTTCCCTCTCCTTCTATTACCACTGACATGTAAATGTTAAATCCACCCTCCAAATAGTATTCTGCTTTGTAGTGCTCTTAAATTCCCATTGTATACTTGACTGCAAGAAACCACAGCATGGCTACAGCCAGCACTAATAATAAACAGCTACACTTTTTTTCTAAACCACTCTTTGTTCCCACAGCACTTGGGAGATCTGTCCAAGTGTTCTGTGGCAGATTGGAAAGAGGAGGCTGTGACAGAAGCCACAGCATAATTGCTAGTGATGATGCTGTTGCCATATTTTACAGCTAGGGAATCACTTGATGCTTAGAAACCCCTAGCTCTGTTGAGTGGCTGCAGTGAGATAAGCCTGTGGGTACTTGGGAGAAAGAACTAGTGTAAGTGTAGTAAAGAGCTGAAAAAGAAGGCAAAAATGCAAGGTAGTGTTCCTTCTGTGAATGTCAGTGACTATGTTGTGGCCAGGCATGTCTCAGCCCCAAACCACGGAGGCCAAAAGGTTTGGCTTGAGTTGGGGAGCATGGACTTGGAAACTCCTAGCAACCCAATGGTGATAAAGACCAAACAAAGGCATCTTGTCATCTTTAGAGAGCACTCAGTTCCATGCTGCAAAACTGGAGTCTCTTGTTTATTCCACATCTTCCTGGCTGTTTCCTAACTGTGCTTTCCTGGCCAGGAGGCCGTTTGTCTCTCCTCCAGTCGACCCCTCTGCCTGGCTGCTCCTAACTCACATGTACTCACTCGTCCTGCACACCTAGCCCCTGCCCTGGTGCAGGCCTATTCAAATGCTTAGTTCTGTAGAGATGCAAACTAGAAGGCATTCCACTGAGGCTATGCCACTCAATAGCAGATTAGCTAGCATCTGCAATACAACTGTACACCTGAGCTGAACCTGAACTGGAGGTTTGGACCTCCAGATATTCCTTAATGGAATTTTCCTGGCTCCTGACATGATTCCCTCTGTCCCTGCATACAGTGAGAGTGGACAAGACTCAACAGCAAAGGAAGTGCTGCACACTTTCTTTATTTCATGCCCTCATGTCTGTTTTGTGGGATATTCTTAAAGAAAACCCTGCACTTTCTTTGTAGAAGAAGAATCAAAATGTGCTTCAGTTTGTACTGAAGAGCCAGTGTGAATGCTTACAATGTTCAATGCCCTGAAAGGGGTTGTGAAATGATGCAAACAGTGGTGAAAATATCTTCATGTCTTCCTTTCCGTTCCCGAATTTGCTCCTTTTTGACCATCACTTGGCCAATGTGTGCTGTTTTCCGGGTTCCAGACAAAAACCCCACAATTGATTAAACAGAAAATTAAAACACAAATGTGTTCAAATTCATCCTGTCTACCCTCCAAGAGAATGATAAATGGATACAGGCGACAGATAAGCTCGTTTCTCTTAATTTTGCCAGATGTGCTTTGCCAGTGGCAGACCAGGAAAACTCAGCCAAGACTGGCCCTCCCCACCTCACAGGGTACAGACACTCACCAGCGCTGACAGTGATGGCTTCAATGAATTGTTCCCTCCAGCTGTTTGTTCCCACCACAAGGGCCAGGTTTGTCTTCTTAATGAGTTTGTCCACAGTGCTCTAGAAAGGGGCAAAGGGATAAGACAATAACTTCTGGGGTTGTGAAGGCCTCAGGAAATCTAAAACCTTGTTTGGAAGCCTCGGGGTTCTATAAGAGGGTAGCAGATGTCAAGCTTAGAAGAAAGATATCCACATCAAACAATGTTAGGATTATGCAAACAATTGTGCTCCTTAGAAACATTCTGAAATGGAAACTTCTTCCCAGAGTAGTCTAGCCTCCTTTACAGCTAATGGCCAATCAGGAGCAGCTACATTGTTTGCAACAGCAGCTTGTGAAAGGCCACCAGCACCCCTCAACTGCAATGTGAACTTGATTCCCTTTAGCTTGTCTGTCGCATGTGGTCTGTAAATGAATCAATATTGGCCCTGTTCAGTATTTAGTGTCTGTGAACACCTGAAAGAGGCAGATCTAAATTGGAAGTATTGCTATATTTTTATCAGTAAAATGTAGCCAGGTAGCAGGGTTTCAAGCAGGTTGCTTGCTGTATGATCATCAACAAATAGATAATTTGGTGGTGAGGGTGTGGGGAGCAGAGAAGACACTTAACTTTTCAGCTTGCTAATATTCAGGCAATTCTATTCTCTCTACTGCTGTTACATCAGGAATACATTAGACAAGCAAAAGTCAACACCTGTGGCTTGGGGCACACTGCTAATAACCTTGCATCACATTACCATACTTTAATAGCACTGAGGTGCATGCCCCTTCTTTTACTTTACAACTTATTAGGCAATTAGTTTTGTGCAATGAGCACCCTGCAACTTTCTAAATTTGCTTAATAAAACAACAGGACTTGCCAAGCGGTCACAAGAAAACTAAGTAAGCCATACAGTCAAAGCACTACCACAAATCATGGCAACTACAGCGAGAAGGGACATTTCCAGGGCACCGAGGCTGCTCCTCCCAGAGAAACTACTGCACCAACTAGTCTACCACACACCCACACTTACTGTCAGAGCATCTTCCAATTTCCACTAATTGCAAAGAGGCAGAAAACACACATTATTTGCCTTAGGTAATGACTTGTACATGTTCAATGCAGGATACTACACTATGGTTTGAGAGAGCTAACCATCTTGGGTGAGCAGGAATTAAGAAAATAGGATCTAAGGGTTTGTGGGAGAGGCCAAAAGCAATTTATAATATCAAGTATGTTAGTTCAAAAGGAGTCATTGGAAAGAAAACAAACATGAAAGGATCCATGTCCAACTAGCTCACTCTGTATCTGCAACATTATTCTTGGTCAGCTAGTAAGGCCTTGGGTAGGGGGTGGTGACTGCTCAGCTTCTTGCCTGGATCCAGAACTGCTAGTGTCTCTGATAACAGTTCTAGCAGTCGCTGTTGTTTGGCATGATAAATTGAAAGACATGGTAGGCATCTGTCTTTTCTCTCTCAACTCAGCCACATCTCACACAGTACTCTATGCATCTTGGCGAATGCCAATTCACAGCGCCGTGTGGAATGTAAGAAGAAATGACCTCAGTTTTTCCTACATGGAGTGGAAACTTTCAGCATATCTCTCCAAAGAGGACAGAACACACTGTGCTGCAGCCAAGGCTGAGGACTTCCTCATCCAAGAGATAAGCAGTTGAACATGGCTCCAGTAGCTGAACACAGACTTCCCCATCAAATGACTGCTAAAGATCAAACTTTTAAGAGAAACTAAACTTATCTGTTATTGATGTGGAAAAACACAAGTATATATTAAAACATAGAAAATTTTAATTTCTACCAGAGGGGCAGAGCCAATTTTTTTCCCAAGGGCTAACGTTGTGCCTGTGTGGTTTGGTTCCTTCATTTATGTGAGAAAGGGGAGTGAATCAAGATGGATTAAAGTTCAGGCAATATTTCCTATATTCATCTGGAGAGTTCGTAAATTGGTACTGATATTCAAGATATGATGAACACCTAACCCTTGACAGTGGGCATTTGTAAAGCCACACTCTTAGCATGACAGGTGAGAAGTCACCTAGCTCATGCTGTTCTAGAGCTCAGAAGAAGTTTGCAAGTTCCATTCTAGAAAAAAAACACAATTCCTAAATGTAGAAATCCAAAGGTGATACTACTGCACTTGGAAAGTGTGCTCCAAGATATCCTTTAGGTGTTAAGGTTAACAATGATACGACTGTGTTTGTAAACTTCAGGGCACGATTCAAAGGTATTCTAGAAAGTTAAAAAAAAATCAGGCAAGTGGAGTTATGTAAAGAAGCTGGAGACTGGGGAGGCTTTCCAATTCTGGATTGTGGCAGCTTACAAGAGAGAGCTCTGTGTGACCAATACTTTTATTTTATTTTATTTTTGCCAGGAAGAGTTATCTAACCCCACTGCTTTTGGAAGAAGCTACTACCATTGCTTTTTCCAAGCAGGTGCATAGGAAAGCAAGCCTGAGCATCCCCTAAGGTAAAGAGTGCACATTCTCTATAAAAAGGGCCATCTCTGTTGTGGCAAGTGACATTTAACCCTTTGATTCCCACTGAAAAAAAAGTTGGAGTAGAAAAAGTGAAATTTAAACACATGGACCCAGAGTAATGGAGTGGGCTATAGAAATAGACAGGCTGAGATCCAGGGGAGACTACATGAACTTATGCATGCTCCCTTCATGTGCTCAGTGAGCCAGGCTCAAGGCTATGCCATGCTGGCCTCTGACGGCAGGATGGATCCTGAAATCTTCATTCCACTGTTTACCTCTCTTTCTAGGGGTGTGCGTGGAAAAAAGCACTAATAGATAGATACTTAGTGGCCCGAAGAAGGTTTAAATGTGTTTTTATCTTTTAAAAATTCTAATTTGATTGCAAAGACACCTTTTTACATACTACCTCTCAGGTATGTCAGTGGGGATTAGATTTAATGAACTAACACAAGGAAAAGAGGCAACTATTACTAAAGATCCACATAGGATTCTGAGGCTTCTATATTAGCCTGATTTTCTATGGGTTTTTTTTTTTTTTTTGGTGGTTTGAATAGGCATCATCTACTTTTGAAAAATATGTAAAGAAAACACTGTTCTGCTCTTGGTTTGTAATTCTGGATATTACAAGAAGGGATACATAGACTCTTAGCCATTGTACAACTCAAGTTGGCTCAACTATCCAAGTATCCTTAGATACTAAGGATCTGGCTAAGAAAAGCTGTGTGGAGAGATGGGATGGGTGGGGAGGATTGGAGCAGAGCAGTGGGTTAGGAGGGACACACAGGAAGTTTCATCTCAAGCCTGAAGCTCATCTCTGTATATCTAACTCATAAAAGAATGACTTCCATTACTGGGGAAATTTTAAATCTAGGCTGAGGATGTAGCTCAGTGGTACAGTGCTTGCCTGACACAGGAGAATCTCTGGGTTTAATGCCAAGTAACACAAAAAGAAAAAGAAAGAAGAAGAATAAAGTAGAGAATCCAATCTTATCAGCTCATGAATAAACTGTATAGTTGAAGATATTGTATCTTCCGTAGGCAGTGCTAAATAGTTCTCAGATCTGAATAGCTTAGATAAAAATGACCATTCTCCCAAATAATAGCCTTGAATTTCCACATGGCAAATGTTTGCCTTCTAATAAATTCATCAGGCTTTTTCTAATGCACAAGAATCTCTCAAAATCTACTTTCGTAACCTCCTTTCAGATGAAACCCTTCCTTCTGGGGGCCTTCTCTGTCACAGTGCATATCATCACCTGCTGGACTCTGGTTCTGATGCTGTTTACTTGGATTTGCTTGGATTTCTTGGTTCTCTGCTAACTACACAATTTCAAATGGGATCTGACAGCCTATTAGTGAATGAGCCTATACGTGAAGTCCAGGGTCTCCAAAAGGTTCTTACAGCACAGACCACACCGAACCACCTTGAGCAAACTGATGGGTCAGGCAGTGTTGATAGACATACCTTGAATTCGTAAGACTCTTCGATGATCACCTCCAGCTTGGTGTGCTCTCCCAGGATGGGGCGCCCCATTTCTGCAATGCGCCTCTCCTCCTCCTCTTTGCTAGTCAGTGGCTGCTTGTCATCATACTCCTCTGGGAAAGGGAAGGCAAGAGTGTGAACAATATTTATGAGCCCCAGGATCCTGCTATAAGAAAAGCAGGGAGGAAGGATGCCCTATGGACAGATTAAAAGTCTCTTGAGTGAGATAGTGAGGCTGAGGGAAGAAGGAGACAGAGCTTGGCCGACAGGGCAATGCCACACTGAAGCAGCAGATGATGGAAATACAGTACAGTCTCATTCATGTAAAAGCATGGATGGAGAAAAGCCATGTTCAGGGTCTGTTACTGAGGAAGACCCTGCAGCACACTGTCTGTGCCGAGGGACTCATCCAGCTGTTCTATGTGAACTTGGCCAGTTTAGTGGTCTGCACACATTTTTTTCCAGAAAAAGGCAAATTTCCAGGGAAATGCAATTAAAAATCTTAAAGTAACCCTGAGGGATGTGAGAGTTTGGTCTTCTCCTTTCTCTTTTCCAGAGGCATCAGAAAATGCCACAGGAGGGCAGAGAGACATGGAAGGGAAATTTTGATCTTAGCTTCACACTTGCCAAGAGTCCTTGTCACAGGTTCAGCTCCAAAACATCCATTTTATGTTTCCCTGAGATGGCTGGGCCCCAAGTGCATACTCTCTGGTGCAGAGGTGAAATGTATTAGGAGAGCCTTGACCATGTTAATCTTAAAGCAAACAGAGAGGGCGAGGGTGAGGCCTTTGGGGAGCTAATCTCTGTGTGAGCATGATTATTTCCAGAACCACCAAGTAGCTCTCATTCTAGGAGAGGTGGGGGTGGAGGGTGCTCATAAATGAGTCTATAGATGAGGAGGAGCTCACAAAGTTGTCTCTGAATGGAGGTCATTGGGATAAATCCCAGACTGAAAAGGCCAAGCATATGTGGAGGGCAAACACTTGTCCTGTAATCACCCTTGTCCTTTAGGTCCAGGATGCTGGGAAATGATAGGCTACTTCCTCAGAGCCAAGCAAAGCATTCATATCCAGGGAGGCAGTGGTGTTGCTATGGAAAAACCTCCATTCCAAGGCCCCCACCTCCAGGATATCTGGGCAATTGCCTGTAAGTGGAGTCTGTTGTCTGAGTCATCCAGGCTGAGAAGGGCTGACCTTTTTGTTCAGGCTTTCTGACCTGCCTTTTGCATCAGCTTCAGCAGGGGCTCATACCTTCTATTTCCGGGAAAGAGCTGTAGCTTCTCCTCTGCTCTGGGAGCCTGCTATAGTTGGTTGTATTTATTAATCTAGCAATTGTCAAGGGGTGGGTTTTTGGTTAGCAGTCTCCTGTGAGGACTGGGGTTGGGAGATAGAGGTGTTGGAAACATGGCTAATACCTACAGTTTCATTTGTTGGAAGAAATGGAAGGCAAAACCAGAATGCAGCTGCTGAGACATTTTTTGCATGTATTTAATAATGTATACTAAAACAATTCATTTTAAATCTCCAGTGGTCTGTAATTCTACCAAATCAAAGGAAAACAAAAATGGGTTATTTGGCCTGTTGAGAAGTGTTGAACATAAGCAAGGCAAAGCAGAGAAAAACGCAGATTAACTGTAAGGATGGTAAGGGATTTTTATAAGGATCGGGAAGTTGTAAATCAAGGGTGGGTGGACACATGTGAAGTCGATTTACCTAGTGTTCAAATCAATCATCGCTTGGTTCTCACTGCTTCCTGATCTTTGGACCAAGGACAATGTCACTGGTCATTCAAGTTGAGTTTGTGTCTTTGTACAAATCTCTGACATTCACTGAATAATAATGACTTCCCCCAAGAGAAATATTGCCTCTTAGATATATATTTGAAATGCAAATCTATGTGTGGGAGAATATTGTGGCCATCATTTCTGCGATTTAACATAGAAACAATAAGTTGCTTAGAATGGGACTTGAGCTAGTTTAGGTAGAAAACAGAGAGTGGTTAGGGAGGAAATGTAACGGACTGGGATTGTTCAGGGAAGCATCTCACAGAAAGAAATGGATCCAGAACATGGTGCCAAATACATGGGCATGGCAGGAAAAGAAACCAAATCATCTTATGAATGAAAAAGTGCCCCCCATAATCCTTCAGTCTTTCTTTCAGCAACAAGTACATAGCTTGATGCACCCAGGTCAGGTCTATTACTGCTTCCCAGTATCTGGCATTCTTTCATTTAGGATCAAGCAGTTTACAGGCATAGAATACTTGACTAGGCAGAATTTAATGACATTCTTTTCATTGTTAAAAAATCCTTATTTTCTTCTTATGGCAAAATCTTAATAGTTTTTTTAATTAATTAAAAGACAAAGTAATTTAAAAAAATCACAGTATGTAAATTATAATTTGCTTAATATTTAACCTTAACAAAAATCTCTTCAGAAGCTGAAGTATGGATACCTCATCTTAACAGTATTGATTTTAATATAAATGAATGCTAGGGAAGATGTTTCTGCGTCTTACTATACTCTTACTCTAAAGCATGGGCTGACCCATCATGCAACTACCCAGAAATGTTCCTACATCTTCATTTAGATATATTAAAGGCTTATCTTCCCTTAGTATAGCAACTGACAACTGGGATTTAGTAAATACCATTCAATTCCTTAATATTTGTCATGTACTAAACATGAACAGTTTCATATGGCTTCTGAATTATTTTAAATTGTCTTTACATACAAATACCTGTATGTCTTAGCACTCTTTTGATTGTCTTTACTTTGATTGTGTTTAGTACAGGTTATCGAATGCCAAAACATTACTCAAGTATTTGTTAGGAGATTCTTCAAGTTACCATTAGTAAGATTTTTTCAACTTTTTTTTTTTTTAAATAAAAGGACCATCCATTATTTAAACACATGGTATTGTCCTCTTAGAATATGTCAGCACAGACACAGTCCTCCCCTTTCTTCAGCTATCTTCCAGAAACTTCTGGTGTAGTGGGAGGAAAAGGCACATAAGTGAAAAACTAGAATCAGTGTGGAGATGCCTGAAGGACCTTTGTGGGAAGAATTTTTTGCCTATGCGAGTCATGGAAAGCATCGGGTCAGAGGATTCACTTGAAACTATCTTTGAAGCATGTAGAGAGCTTGCCGGGTGAATATGATGGTAAGGATGACTAGGAGATGTAGAAGTGAACAATCATATTTCAGGCATGGTGGGCACATCATTGTGGAAAGGTCAGGGCTATTTTCATTTGATGAGTATTATGTAAATCTAAGAGACAGTTACTGTTACTTGTACTTGAGAGGTGACAAGTGGATAAATCTTATGGCTGATCTACAATGGTACTGATATATTAGCGGTTACAGTGTAGAGTTTTGATGAATAGAGTTTAGTCTATTTCCCCCTTACTGTTCTCCTTAGGTGTGCCTTTTGTTAGATAGGGAAATGGTTCAACAGCATTTTCACACTCAATTACTTTGTTTCTTTCTCTCTTTGAACAAATAGGTCAAAAACAGATTATTTTTATTGTAGCCTAGGTCACTTTATTGCCTTATGTATTCAGAGTGAGAACATGATGGAGTTTTGGTTCTACTTCTTAGAGCAGATTAATTTTCTCTGTGCCCAACTCTGGGTCACATTGTCTCTCTTTTTATGTACATATGCATAGTTGTAAAGGTCACCAGTTTAATTGTGGCATTGTATGAGGATATACAAAGTTACAGTCTTGACCATTGTATATAAGATGTACAATGTTGCAATCTTGACCATTGTATATAAGATATACAATGTTGCAATCTTGACCATTGTATACAGGACATACAATGTTGCAATCTTGACCATTGTATACAGGATATACAATGTTGCAATCTTGACCATTGTATACAGGATATACAATGTTGCAATCTTGACCATTGTCTATAGGATATACAATGTTGCAATCTTGACCACTATATATAGGATATACAATGTTACAATCTTGACCCACCAAAACAATGTAGAGACCCTGTACATTATCAGCAACCATGGCTAAAAGCCAGTGCAGTGAGGACACAGAGAATTTCTGGGATAAAATAACCAGAGTGCACTCTTTGTTCTTTATAGTGATCGGCTATTATAAACAACAATAAAAAGCATTTGCTTTAGGTGTGTGAGTTCTGGAAACAGATGAATTATGTAAAGCTGCTTACAATGCTTCCTGGTTGAAGCCAGATCTTGAAGCAGAATCGTGGTGACAAAGGGGTGAGAGTGGGATATCACTTTCAGAGGATCTTGTCACTCACATGGCTAGTTCAACACTTTGTTCAGAACTATAAGCACAGGCCACTTGACAATGTTTCTGCTCCAGCTGGCCTCTCAGATTAGAACCCAGGAAGGTTTCTATTTTTAGTCTCTTGAGGAGTACTGTGAGAAAAATCTGTAATTGGAGCTTAAATTTATGACTGTTGAGTGGAGGTATGATTTGTGAGGGTGAGGGCGACCCATCGGGTTACGGTAGAAGTACTTCCACTACTGAGATCAGTGATCGGCAGCAGAAATGACTGAAGGAGGAGGTACTACTGTCCTCAGCTATAGACTCCCTGCTAGGAGCTGACTAGTAAGCTGTAAAACCACAGTAAATCCAGGAGAACTATGTGACCCTTGGGTTGTCCTGCCAACATTTCTTTGTTTCCTTGTATAGCAGGAAAGGAAACACAATTGTTTGGTTTTGCACTTTTTTTTAAAGAATTATCTTTGCACTAGATGAAAAGCTTACATGTAAAAGAAATATTTGTAAGAAATCTAAAACATACAAAAATCTGTGATAAAGAAGGCATTGGATCAGCCTTTCTATAGGTTCATACTATCTCTCCATACTGCCTTTGAGTTTTTATCATTCATGGTATCCCAGCTGTCAGAGAAGTCACTTGTCCATCAGCAATATTTCAGAAGGCCCAGGGACTGACATGTATGGTACTAATAAGGAGTATACCTGAAAGCTGTGGTTTTCAAGGACCACAGGGAAACGAGTACCTGAAATGCTGATTACAGTGGAGGGAAGCGGATGATCTCTAGCATGAACCTTCCTGAAGACAGGTTGGCCTAGCAAAAGGACAGGCAGAAAATCAGCAGAATGGATCACATTGCTTCACATTCTCAGTGGCATTTGAAGTTAGTAAGCTAAAAACAGCACCCAAATGCACACACTGCAAGCCACGTTAGTGCGGGCGGTTATAGTTCACCCCCTGTAGGCCACAAGGAGGAGTTCTGGTGGTTACCAATAGAGATTACCACGCACAAATGGGGGCAAATGTTCCATAAGCCAAACCAAATCATGCTTGAGTAAGTTTGATGGATGTGATAATGAACCTCTTTCCTTGTGGTAAGAGGTAGAATCAGTCTAGCAAGTGTTTGAAATGGATGAGCCAGGTCCTTCAATTACTGATTCCAGAGGCATCATAAAACAACAGAAAGCACTTGGTGTAATGACATGTGTGCTAATTTTTGAAGCCCACTAGTGGCATCTATAGCCCTTAGTAGGCTCTCTGTTCTGTTTTCTACATATAAAATGCAAGTCATATCTACTCCATTTATGTCATGGGTTTCTTTGAAGGTTGGGAAATATAAAAGCCCCGTGAAGGTGCTCACTACATCCATTTCCTGTGCAGACTGCAAAGTGTCATATATACTTCCATGGAATAAGGACAAGTCATTATCAGCCAACAGTTTCCATTAACCAGGACTTAGGATTTCATTGAACTTCTCATTCAGGTGGTTGCCAGGCCTGCCTGCTCTTTTCATCTACAAAGGTCTACTGAGAATTAAACTGAGAATCCTGAGACTTGGACTCAGGGCTGGCTCTCTGCCACTTGTTTTCCATTTAAATATGGACTGCTTCTTGGAAATGCAGTTTTCTCGGTTGTAAAATGAGGCAAACTTTGACAGAGGGGCTTTGTCCATCTAACCCATACATTGGCATGGTGGAAGTGTTCTCAATCTCAGTCAGGATTCTCAGAGACTGGCCGTTGAAATCGACATGCACGTTAAGTCTGTTACAAGACAACAGAATGAATGACTGGAAGGGCAACATTAAAGAAATATATTGAGTGTCATGTAATTTTAGGGAGAGCTATAGCTGTTATGTCTTAGAAGTTTTAGGGGAACCAACTACACCTTTCCAGATTTAGCCAGGAGACTGAATTTGATTGAAAAATATCTCTACGCATTCTAAACTTCCCTTACAGACATTTTTCCTTTATGTTTCCTTTGATTACCATTCATAATGATTTTTTTAAATAAGATGTAGTTGTTCTTTAGACTGATAAAGAGTTCAATGTATACTATAAAGATGAAAGGAGAAGGACATGGTTTGTACTATTGGACCTGACAAATGACAGGGTGAGTGGTAGGACAATCATCAAAGGGCCTTTTACACAGAGTCTGAAAGGTGGCTGTCACTATCTTGGATGAGTGGTTTGGGGTAGATTAATCTTTTTAAAACTTTTTTCTTCCTGTAAGTGAGCACAATAAAGTCCAAAGGAATGGTGATAAAATGGTATTCATTATAAACTCTAATGAGTTATAATGTTATTATAAAATCATCAGGTCAGGGGGTAGTGAGATCATAGATTCAAACATAGGCCTTTCAGTGAGACAAGGTCTAGAACAGCAGGTGAAGTTATGCAAATTTCAAAGACACCTCCAGCATTCAACGTCTGTTATTAACAAGGTTTCTAAAATATTGGTGTATTGGTGTGAGGGTGTGGACACAATGGATTTTTCTTTGTTGTTTGCATATATACTGTTTCCAAATTCCACATTCATAATCATCCCTGCAAGTCCATGTAAAACCTGCAGGCTAAGTCCAAAGGCTACATTAATTCTTCTCTTCTTCCTTATAGCTCAAAGTTTTGACTTCAAAGCCCCACTGTGACTTCAAAGAGAAATCTTTAGGCCTTATAGCTGCTGTTCACTGTACAGACCTAAGTTTCAGAAGTTTCCTTAGAGGCATCAGTAGGAACTGGACCCTGGGATTTCTGGTTTTATGGGAGAAGGAGGATATGAAGTTACACAGTATCCATCTAAGTAACAATTAGGCTAATGTAGAAATATGCAAAGAGTCCTGGAATAGTCTCCCATTCTAATGCACTGACTTCTATATTGGGAGATATCAAGGATGAAGAGACTTCTAATTTTGTTAAGTTTCAGTCATTGGGGGACCCAATGAGCTACTCATATCATAGAAACTTTCTGAGAAAGTGATTGTATCATGTCAGGTGCAGGATACAAATGGCTAAAGCCGGAGATGTTGACATGGGGGTTATGGGAAACTATATGGGAAAGATTTGTAAGAAAGGAAAAATGAGGATCCTGCTAACTGAGGTACTAAAAGGGAGGGTGGTTCAAGTGGCATGAAAAGAAAGCCTTAGAAATGAAACTCTCCCCTCACATATATAATGCAGGATGGTCAAAGACATAGATGCACTCTTTAAAAGGTACTCCAGACTGAAACTATGTAAAGTCTCACCAGCTTGCATAGAATGAAAGCAAGGGCCACACAGTAAGCTATTTCCAGAGATTATGGTTGACTTTTGAAAGATAATCCACAAAGCCATGAAGGTTGGCTTCCGCTCTCTTACCCTGATAGAATTAGAGTATTTGCAAGATGACATCAGTGATCTCAGATGTTGCAATGGCAATATACATATATTCCTGTACTTAGATGCATGGACAAGCCCAGGAAAATCTGACTTAGGAGATGCTTGGCTGGTTTGGATTCAGGAATTTCTGTAAGAAGACTACCCTATTTAATATTTTAAGTTTTTCTAATTTCTATGTCTGTGAGCAGCTACGAGACATTCTGTCATTTACTTCTGTGTCTAGAGATGAGTTGGGAGCAGCCATCCATATAGAACTGCAGCTCTTCTATACAGAATTGCCATATAGAGAAAGGTCCACTCTGGGCAGATTCACCTTGGTACTCACTGTCCATGAGTTAATATTAACAGTGGCTGATGCAAACCTCCATGCCTATCGCAGTGTTTTCATGACCAGAATTTTGGTACTATTTCCTTCTAAATGTGTTTTTTTCTCTTGGATTAGTATTTGCATGTTATATCAGAAATTTTTGGTGCTTGCCTAACATATTGAAAAAGGCCACCTAATAAGTGGGTTACCAGAAACATTTTCAACCTGCAGCTTCAGACAAGTTAGGGCCATTATTGGGTAGTCACCTTCCTCTCTAAATCTACAGAAATTATCATGAAAAGGTGAGAAGGTTTGCAGGGTCAAAAGATGCTGCAATGAGGAATGATTTCCACCTGTGCACAAGGAGCTAGCTTTAGAGATGGTAGAAATGTGAAATTAAAGACTTCAAGCCTTCTCACTGGGATCTTGAATGCTTACATAGCATTTTGCAGTGCACCTCATGCAGCAGAAATAGCTCTTGTTATGGTGCTCTTAGCACTAAAGCAAAGTGCCCAAAGAAGGGCTTGGATCATTATCTTCTCCTAATGTGGCATTATCTACTTTGGGGATTCTGATGATCCTTGGCCATGAAGTTTGTGTAGTTGTCATGGCCACCATCTGAGGCCAGCTATCTTCTTTTTCTTACACTGGAACACTGTTCAGCGTCTATCAGAGTACATTTCAAATTCTCAGTGCTCTGTGGGCACCCATAGATTAGTATCAAAATATGAATAGTTGAGACTCTCTCTGGGAGTTTTCTTACAAATAAATAGTACACACACAGGTTGTTGTTAATTTGTAAAAGTGTTAATGTGTAAAGATATTAATGTGTAAAATAAACAAGAGGATAGCATGGGCCACAGTTAAATATTAATTCAGGTTACATTTGTCTTGGTATTTAGGCTATTTGGGCAAAAATAGGAAATTTCTTACCATACAGGCATTTTCCTTAATTAAAAAGAAATTAAACAAGAAAAATATTTTTAAAAATGTAATATATTGACAGTGACAGTAAAAGTATACTTAGGTAGTATTAGAGTTGAAAATTTCATACCTGTTAATGTGAAGCCACCTAAAAAAGAAAAAAAGAAAAGAAATGTCATAATTTAATTTATATTACAAATAAGAATTACTAGTGACATAAGATGCTTGATAGCCCACCAGAGTTATGAAAACTTGCCAGATTTATAACTAAAAGGAATATGAAAAGTCCAGTCATAACTGAACATTTCTTTTAAGATTATGCAATTTACTGCACAATTGCAAATTCTTGTAGATACCCGAGGAATCACTGGCCCTTTAGAGCTTATATATACAACTAAATTTAAAATGCGATATGAATGATCTGGCTTCAACTACAATGAGGCCAATAGTCTTAAATGAAAATCTGGCCAAACCACAGATAGAGATAATAATCATGAGTTATGGTATCATCCCAGAGAAGTAGAAAATAACCTATAAAAATGGAAAGGAAATGCAAGAAATGAAATGCTTACCAAGCTCATTCAATAACAGGGCTGTGAAGGAAACAGACAGAGACAAACACAGAATAAGAGACCAAATGAATAATGAAAGAGGAATATTAGCAGAAAGAAATCCAGGCAGTTCTTAAAAGAGTAGGGAAACCATTGCTTATATTAAAAAAGTGCATCCTAAGGGGATGCATCGGTGGGGACATTTCCAAATAAATGACCCTAACAGGAATATTTCTGTGTGATTGAAAAAACATTCACCTTATATATCTCTGTGTATCTCATATTTCTCCCACAGTTGTTTACAAAATATTATGTGAATATTGGGGAAGGTAGTCTTTAACTGGGTTTGGGGATGGGCTTCTCATAATGAATATTGTCTGAGAGCTAATAAATCAAATTCTTGGAAGTCTTTAACAACTAATGACCTCAGCTATCTTCCATGAGAACATGTAAAAGTCCCTAGAAAAATCCATTAGCTTACCACCTGGAAGGAGATTTTAGCTCAGGTAAAGTTCTCTCTGCATATTTTATTTGGAAGATATTTTGACTCCCCCAAAATTGCCTATGCTGGTTAAATTCTCAAATCCTAAGAGGCCCTAAATTGACATTTATTTGTGTGTCTTTATCAGTAATGTCTACATGTTAACAGGCTAACCAGAAGACTTTCTGGTGGATATATAACTCCAGAGAAAGTGTCAGGGTGAGGGGTGCGGGGCAGTCTACAATGTAGCTTTTTAGATTGTATTCTTTAATACAATTGGGACCATAACACTTTATTTTAATGAAAGTCAACCTGCTTACCAATTCCAATTAAAGGCCTCCTGGGTTGTCTGCTGGAATATTACCAGTGCTTGTTTTCAGCCCAGTTTTCCCTGTACCGTGGTCTTGGAATTAGAGCCTCGGTAACCGAAATCAGTAAGTTTACTTATACTGAGAAGAATTCATTTGGCCAGTATGAAATGGGAGAATGCCATTAAGGAATTTTAATTTGCTTCTATATGAGGGCATATTTTACTAAAGCAACAGTCGAAAGAGCTGCATCCAAGGTGACACTCCTCCTTGAGATAAAAGACAGCTCTTTGGAGGAACTCACTCAGAAGTAAATGTTTCTTCCTGTATGCTAACAAGACATCTTTGATCCCATCTTTGTAACACATATTTTTGATGTCTCTTCTCTTTCTGTTTACTGACTATAGGTTCTTCATAAGCAAATTATATTAAAATGAGTCCCAAGTGTTCCTTTCTCCATCACTCCTGTTGCTATTTTGAACTTAAATCAAGTGCGTTAGGAAAAAAAAAATTTTTTTCTCAGATGGGCTCTGAGGTCAGTGAGTTCTCATAATGTGAGAGTCTATTTCCTCAAAATGCCAAGTCCACATATGATTTGGCCATATATATTGCATTTTTTGCCCTACATTTAAAAACCACAATAAAATTCTCCTTATTCCTTGTGAAGTAGAATCTCTTATAAAGTAGGGAAGAATTAGAGAACAGAATTGACTTCTCCTTGCAAGTGTTTCCTAAAACTGTGAGAATCAACAGAATCCAATTATAAAATTCTCAAAGAATTAACAAAAAATGGCATTTAAAAATCTAGTTATAAGAATAGCACTGCTCAGCTTTTCTTGTTACCATTCATATTAAAATTGTGTTAATTCTGTAAGTATCAAAAGATTTTAGAACATGGGTAGGATTAGTGTACATCAGGGTTAAATGTTTACAAGGGCCTGTGCCCTTCAGCTACTGAAACTGACCCCATACATATGACTGTGGTTTCATATGTATGGTACCTTATTTGTTAGAGTTTATTATTATTATTATTATTATTATTATTATTATTAATGTAGCTCAGGCTGCCCTTGAACTTTCAGTCTTACTACTTTGATCTCCCAAGTGCTGGAATCACAGGTGTGTGCCATCATGTCTAGCTGTTTGGTGTCCTCTAAAGGATATATTTGACGATATGGAAAATACCAAGTAAGTACATTAGCTTCTTGACAGCAACGGTCATAAGGCTCCTTGTTCTTATTAATAACTTTTTAAAAAAATCAGGACTGAACAGATTGGCACACACCTCTCAGTACTTTGGAGGTAGAGGCAGGAGGATCAAGAGTTCCAGGTCATCCTCAGCTACATAGTGAGTTCAAAAGCCAGACTCAGCTTCAGGAGACCCTGTCTCAAAAACACAAAAAGACAACAAAACAAAACAAAACCCTCCCCAAACCTTAGATTCTCTAAGCAACCTGATTACTGAATTTTCTGTAATTTCTTATAAATTGCTATTAGGTCCATGCACTCTTCATCTACTATGAACTTTTAGGTGGGTTTTCTTTTCCTTCTACTTCCATCGACAAGGAGTGAACCTTTATGACCACGTCCTTATGTGGTTCTGAGGCAGTGAAAAGTAGAGCATCTTCTCTTATCTCCTCATTACTGAATTACAGAAATTCTTCCAGTATTTGTTAATATTTAGCAAATTCTGGTTGCAATCTAGTTTAGTCAACCCTTCCTAAAAATAATGGCCATTGCTTGGCAAGCCCATTAGGGAATGGAGATGAACCAGCTATGCTTCAAAGGCAATGGAATTTAGTGCTGGAAGCCAAGGAAGAGGAGAGAGTTAAGTGTGAGAGTAGGGAGACACAGAGAGGGAGAAGAGTATAGTTTCTCGCCAGTATGTCTTTGTACACTCTCACACCTTTCATTCCTCTTCTTATCCATTTTGGTTCCTCAAGCACAAGGGAGAAACTGCAATCTTTCTCATATTCCTCACGATCAAATATTCTAATGGTAATGATCTTCCTGTGGGGACACAAGACAAAGGCAAAACAAATGGTTGGAGTCACACGCTCATGCTCTAGATGTCCACCAAGCTGAATGTCATTGTGATGTTACGGAGGGAGAACTGGCAGCACATGACCTTCAGGCATATGTAAAAGGGCATCTTGGGCACTCTTCGCTGGTCTCCACTGAGGTTTCTGGGTTAACAGATCGCTTGCATAAATCTGCCTGCTTCTTCCACAATTACCAATTAGGATGACAGAATTTGAGTATTGCATAGCATCTGTGCCAATTTCCCCAGCTATGGAGGCTTGATTGATTGTGCCCAAAATTAACTTTCAGACCTGCATGGTGCACAGTGGCCGTGACTGGCTGATGTGGCTGCAGTTCTGGCTCATTGCAGTCAGAGTGAGAGCTATGCCCTGTTACATAGTGGAGGCATGTGTGCATTGTAAGTCATGTCGTGAAGAATGCAGGCATCCAGGGAGGCACAGGCCAGCAGAAGCTGTTGGACTCAGCCCTGGAGCAGCTTCCCCACCTTTCTTCTCACTCATCTCCACCAGACGGGGTTCTCCAATCTCAATGAAGAAGGTCTTGTTTTTCTCATACTCCTCATCATCAATTACCTTGACTGCAATTGTTTTGCTGAAACAAAGAAGAATAGAAATTGACGAACAGGGAAGAGGCAGGCATGCAAAGGAACATAGGCAAGAGGAAGGCAAGGTTAGAGAAGCCACTGAAAACATAGTTCCTTGCCCAGGGCCACAGAATTAACTTGGACAAGTACTGTTCTCAATATTAATAAGTTTGTCATCAGTATGAGAAAGAAAAGCAGAAAAACAGATTATAGTAAGTAAAGAAAAATTCTTATTAAAGGATTGGACTCCTGTGTTGTCTTAGCTGTGTCCTGCAATTCATTGCTTTAGAACAAATTAATGAAGTACAATAGGTCCAATGAGAAGCTTCAGAGGGTAAAGGCACTTGACACCCAGACTGATGACTTAAGTTTTGTCCATGGAAACCACCTGCTAGTAGGAGAGAACTGACTTCAGCAAGTTGTCCTCCAGCCCTCACTCATGTGCCATGGCAGATACACCCCCATATATGTATGCACAACACATACCCATATCCTTCCCACCTACACAATAAATAGGTAAAGGGAATAAAAACACAATAAAATATTAGCAGAGATATTATTCAAAGTGGTAGGTAATTTTTCCTGTCTCTGTTTTTATTTTATTCCCAAGCACAATATTTAAGATTATTTTGTTGAGTTTATAATAGAATTGCATAATTTTCCCTCTTACCTTTCCTCCCTCCAGACTCTTCCATATACCTCTCATTACTTTAAAAAATCATGGCTTCTTTTTCCATTAACTGTTGTGATAATATATTATATATTATATACATGTGTATGTATTGTATTATATTATATACAATATATATTCCTAAATACAGAAAGACAACCTGCTCAGTCTGTATAATGTTACTTGCATATATAACTTTTCAAGGATGATCATTTGGTATTGGACAACCAACTGGTGTGTTCCCAAGCATAATATTTTTATTATTACTTTTTATTTTGATTAACACAACATATGTCTGAAAGCATTATAGAAGAGAATGAAAACTCTTCTCTCTTTCTACCTAGTGTCATATAATCTAACTTACTTAAGTTCCTTGGAAGCTGTTCTTGTTTTGTTTGCATTTCTAAAGATAGAAATTATTTCATACAGCTGTTTCAAAAGTGTGGTGGCAGTAGAGGGGACAACTGCTGAAGTAATTATTTTGATCCGGTGCCAAGCTGAATTTCAACTTTAATCAAGCTATGTCATTTACATTTCTTTTCAACTTCATAAATACTTTGTGGTGTTTTCATGGAGAATTCTTCTTCAGTCCATCCTCCAGTAATGTTTGCCCTATGGTCCTATGGCTGTGAACAATTGATGAATAGACAGGACAAATGCAAATCTAAACTCCAGTAATGATACCAGACATAACTCTTGATGGATCTGAAAATAAATCATTCTAAAATTATCTTTTAACTAACAAAGCTCAGGTGTGGTGTATATTACAATTTATCCAGAGCCTCCTAAATATTGATTTAACAAGATTTTCAAAGTAACATTAGCTGAGACAATATCTGATTAGAGTTTTGAAATAATAGCATAGACAAAGTTTTAGTGACATGGAGATCTTTTAATTTTGGTAACATTTTCTGAGACTTTTAGAAAAAGATGGGTCCATTATCATGTTTTTAGTTCATTGATGAAATCTGCCAAGTTTCACTGAGACACCAGCTTTCTAATGAGCATCTGTCTTTTTATCCTGACATGAAGAAAGCAGGAAAAAATTCTCCATGTTTCCCAGTCCCATATTGTCCTTTCCTTCCCTGGCTACCGAACATGTATGATACTGACATCCCTATTTCCCTCTCCTGAGAAGCCAGGGCTCATGGGTGTGCCTTTTATTTGTGTTCCCAAGACTGCAGCAGGTGAATAGTTAGACATGGATAATGCAAAATCAATTTCTTTCAGAGCAGATATTTATAAAACTATCAAGAGTATGACAAAGCCCAACTATATGTATAAACAACTGCTACATAATTGTTAGGCATTTTTTCTGGATTTCACCTATCCTCCCCCCCCCCCGTGTGTGTGTGTGTGTGTGTGTGTGTGTGTGTATTAAAAATCAACTGATCAACTGGTCTGACTAACTTGGGATCTTTAGTTGTTAATTTACACCTGCAAAATACAAAATACTTTAAGAAGCCCAAGAGGACATATATGAAACATGTTTGGAGCTGTACATTCTATTTGAAAACTACAAAGTATCTGCTATTTTAAGTTAGATCAAATTTACCATTTAAAACATGACCAAAAGTTTTCTTTATTTTTTGTTAACAAAACATATTCTCTTTAGATATTAATTTCTACTTCACATTCTTGCAGTCTTAAACTGGGATGGCTCATCTGCCCCAAAACAAGCAATGTCATGAGAACAGGCAAGGAAGTGTGAAAGAAACCAAAAGTTCCAGGTTAGCTATTGTCCTTAGGAATGATTGTCCCAACATTCATTGTGAAGGCCCTTCATGGTAGGGAACACCAAACTGAAAAGCCCCCATGGTAACATGTCAGGTTGCAATGTTCTTGATTTTTATTATATGGCTCATATAATATTGCCAGCCCACAGAGCATCGCAGATACTGTTGAACTAAAGAAGTAAAGGAGGCCTTGTTCATATGGTTGCAGTAGCCTTTCTAGTGAGTCAGTGTCTATCCACTGATTTTATTCCCAAGGGACACTATACCAACTTATTCAGTACCCCAAATCACCCACTGACATCTTATTTCCTATCACCCCAGAATGTCATTATTATTCCTCTACCATCATTTGCTAGTTAGCCTTAACTGACAACGTGATACAACCTAGAACCAGCTAGAAATAGAGTTTCAATGGAGGAATCTCCCAGATCAGGTTGAACTGTGGGGGATTGTCTTGGTTGTTAATTATGGTGGAAAGACCCATCTTCAATGTGTTTGTACCATGTCATGGACTGGGTACTGAACTATGTAACATAAGTGAAAGGTAGCTGACAGCAAGTGAGCAGGTAGCATGGGTGTATTTGTCTCTCTCTGTTCTTGACTGTGAGTGTGATGTGACTAGCTGCTGAAATCCCTGCCTCAAATTCACTGCAATAATGGGCTGTAGCTTGAAATTCGAAGGTAAGAACAGACCCTTCCTTCCCTATGTTGCTTTTACTCAGGGTACTTCATCACAGTAACAGAAATGAAACTAGAGCACATTATAATAGCTTTATTTTCTATACCCCAAGACAATAGCTACAATAGCCCATAAAACTGGTTTCCAATTTATCACTGGAGCATCTGTATTCATCAGGATCAGGATTCTTTGGAAATCTTTGAGCATTTGGTAGTTGTCATATGAAAAAAATTAAAAATGAAGAATAGAAATATATGCATATATGTCTTTTTAAAGACGCCCAGGATAGACAGCATTTGCATAACAGCATATCATTTCAAAATCATTAGAGAACAGAATCAATAGTGCCCTTGGCAAAGAAGCCATTAAATTATATATTGATTTAGCTTCTCTAGCACAGTAAAGCTATTAATAGGAAATGTGATTATTAAAGGCTGCTTCAGTCGATCTAAAGTAGCAGGATGAAGTCAGCCCTGAGTTAATTCTCTAAAGCAAGATAGACAAAGTCATGAACATCACTTGCTATGTTCACCTTTTACTTCAGAACACAAGGTAGCAATGGTGAAATTAACCAAAGTAATTTTCAAAGGGAAACGTCAAGAGAAACACAAGATTCAATTGTCTTCTCAATTTGTGGAGCCCAAGTGGAACCCAACTCTTGAAGATCAAGCTGCCAACTCATCCACCACATTGTATGCTGCAGGAACTGAGGCTGGTTGGTGCAGAGTTCAGCTAGACTGGATAATCACTAGGAGCATGCTTTTGCTTCTCAGGATTTAGCAGTAGAAATGGACTCTCAAGGACTTCAGGGTCACAAAGTCTCCCAGTTTGTCCCATTGCCGCACCAAAATCCAATTATAGGGACTCTGTCTCATGGAGATCATGGATGCATACTGGGATTTCTGTGTAGTGGCATCTTGCTTGGCCAGTGAACTTGTAGTAGTGGCCACACCCTTTAGGTGTGGTTTCAGGTGCAGACTTGACCCTTTTAAGGTAGAGGAGCTGCAGGCTCCGTGCTCTCTTAGGTTGTGGAGAGCATCAGAAGGGCAGAGACTGCATCTTATGGAACAGGAAGCCTTGGCTGTTATTTACTCTAATCTGTGTAAGTCCTTCCCTAATAAACACTTATTTATCATTTGTCTTGGGTCTGGCGAACTCATTTAAAACTCAGCCTTCATTTATGCTCTGTTCACTCATAGAAGGCTGTCAGTAAGTCTTATTTCTTTCAGTGGACAGGTTGACAAAATTAAACTGAAAGAGTTGAGTGAGCATAGTCCTTTAAGTAGGCACAACTCGTCCATAATTGTACAGATGAGGAACAAATAGAAAAACAAGTGCCCGGCTGTTTGCCACAACCATGATTGTTCTAAAGACAGCCAAGAGAGCTCACTTGATTGTTTCCATTCTTAACTACAAAAATCACATTTTCTAGAAATGAGTAAGATGCTTGCAAACCTTATGATATCATTAAAATATTTCTCAATGGTACCAAGGCATTTATAGAAGCTATTTTCATTTCATTTCTAAAGATTCAGGTAAGAAAGGAGTTATTTAGTGGAAAAATCCTTCTGATCTTGGTGGCACCTTTCATGTACATACACCAAGCCAATGAGATTTTCTCAGTCTCTCTTATTTGATGGGTCTCAAAGGACTCAACTCCTTCAAACAGACTACCAAGGAGTCTGGTGGTGAGTCACTGATGAAGGAAAGAAAGTCATTCTTTATTAGTGGTGGCTGAAACAAGAACATCTCTTTACAATATATTTTACTCTTCATTAAGTTAGAGAGTGGTACTGTTATCTTCTTTCTTTTTAAAAATTAATTTAAATATAACTTTGTCTTTGTGTGGTTTAATTTCCTAGGTCCACCTTTGGGGTTAGAAGAGGATGGCAAGTAAAAGATGAGGCTGGGGCTTAGAGAGGA